GGTTGAGCTCTGTCTTCGGCTGGAGGCTACGAAGTTGACTCTGCGTCTTCTTCACGGTTTTTCTTGTACACTCCGGCATTTGGAGTGGGAATTCCCGGAGTTTCATTTTTCTTGTTGGAGGAGATCTAGCTATATGTAAAATTCGGCCCTAAACACCGTTGACTGGTTCGTAGTAGGGAAAAGGGGGATATAATGCCGATATAATCCCCTATGTAAAATACACCCTCATTCCCCAGTTAGCACCAGTAAGTTTAACCTTGAATCCTCAAAACCGAAGCCTGCAGAGCCTACAAATGAAGTGAGCCGCGAGCCCGCGTGAGCTTGGATGATCCTTAGACTTGGTAGGTCTACCTACCATCCCCAATCACCGCCCCCATCACAAGCCCCATAAGAACATGTTACTAAGTAGGTTCACTCCTTGAACCCTGAATTCTCTTAGTCTACAGCCTACTCCCGAAGCCCTGGACCTTAAACCATAAACCCTAGACCCCAAACCGGAAACCCTGAGTCCTTGTAAAGGTCTTCCAGCGTCACCGCTTGGAGAACCGAGCTTTGGTTCTGCCTCGATGGGTTTAGGGTTTAGGTTAAGGCTGTAGGGCTGCTGGGTCATTTAGATAGAGCTAGGGGTGCCGTTCAAGGGGTTGTAGGGTCATGGAGGGATACGGTTCTGGATGGGCATGCCTTCTACTTTTCAGTATACTTGGACAAAAATGGAATCTAGAATTTCAAGTCTTAATCTTGTCCCAAGGAGGAACCAGTTTAACGACTTGGGTTTCAGGGTTCCCGCAGCAAAGTGGGCTCTGTGTATCTACCTTCATGTCGTCCACGATGGTGATCTTGCTGTCTGCACTGCAAACTGGCTGGATGAACAGGAGGGTTGGCAGTCCTTCACTATGCAAGCAGTAAGCATGCTTGGGGATTTCGTGCGTTTGCTGGTGGGTTACGTTCGAATGATGGGAAATTGGCTTGTGTTTCAGCTTCTGATGTGCGCAGAGTGCTATGCAAACTTGTGAAACCGAGTTGTATGTATGTTGCAAAAGTATCTTTGACTCCTTCGAGAAAATTGTTGTGTTTGAAGTTGTGCCTGATGCCTGGATGACAAAAGTCATGGAGCGCGCCATGTGAGCCACGAGTGCTTGCATAAGCGCCCGGGCGGGCAAGTTGGGCTG